TTTTTTTTTTTTTTTGTCCAACGCAGGTAGTTTTTGAAAGGCACTAAAAAACCCGTTTTTCGAAAAACCTAATGTAAACCTTGAATAACCTTGAAATAATATATGTAAGTCAATGAATTCGTCATGAGTTACATATCAAATACATGTACCTTGGAATTTACAGAATGAAATCTCAATATTAACTAAAATTGTCCTTGAAATTATATCTTTATTTGTACATTATTCTATTATTCTATTATTCTATACATAAAAATTATGATATAATCCATCAATGCATCTTAATTATTATTCTTTAGTACATCGCAAGTAATATCGAAATGTATGAAGCCGACACTTTTAACATCTGAAAAGTTAAATATATTTTTAACAAACTAAATCAAAATATATACAGTATGTTCATTAAAAAATTTCCAGTTGATTTTTGTTTCAACTTAAAAATCAAACAACAAGAAAAATTAAACAAGTTTCGTTCGCATAATTTAACTTTCTATCCTGTATTTTATCAAATATTTTTTTAAGAAGAAGTCCATTATAAATGTTCCATACAAAAGTTTCTCCCTTAAGACAAGAATTTCTAAAGAAAAATGTATTTTTCCACTTGCAAGAAGAAAATTGATCTCCAAGTAACCTTGGAGATGTCTAATTGTAAGAAATGAAAAATATGACAGTTATGTTTCCCCTTTGAAACTTTTGTATTAAACATTTTTCTCGAAAAAACTTTGTTTTCAAGATACTTGGACTGGAAATTTTCAAATGGACACACTGTACAATTAGTTTACAGAAAGTATAATTAGCTTTAGCAAAGATAAAATTGTTAATTACATAGTGTAAAATTATTGAGGAGTTAGAATACAAAATTTTTCAAAAGAATTATAAAAATTTCATATTATATATTATATATTTTAAAATAACAATTCTATTTTCTTATGAAAGGATATGATTTTACTGTGAATTTATTGTGGACACTGTTAATAGTTATTCTTACATTAGCAAACGTTTCCACGCAGAGTGTCACAAATTTTCCAGCAGTAAGTGTGAGTGGACTTCGAGTCTGCATCAAAATGAATAATACAGTTCGACTGTTCTGTTTATTTAAATTGTACCAAAACATAGTGTATGCGGCTCGATTAATATTTTCACTCTAAAAGAAATTAGTAAATAGAAAGATACAACAAAGTCTGAAAAAATGCATATATGTACAATATGTATATTTGTAAAAAAAGGAATGGACGTATGATAATAAATGCAGGATATTCAAAACTAAATGAGATAATTAGTCAGAAAATAAAAGAAATAATATTATTAAACGAAACATTCTTTAATCCAGTGTGCAGAAACTTTGATAGTTTAAAATTTTTTAGAAATACTTTTATTTATTTATTGTCTTTTGTATTTTTCTAATCTCACTTGAATTTTTTATAATAAAATTCTGAAAAATTCAAATTTAAAAGGTTATATCAAGTAGTCGATTATCAATCAAATAGTAGATTTCAGTAAAATTTTAGTTAAGAAAAATTAGAATGTTGAATTCTATTTTTTTCTCATGTTTAGGGAGCAATAATAATAAATATTGTTATAAATATTATAAATATTGTCAGTTATAATATTTTTTAAATAATTGATTAAGGATTATCATTTTATGAAAAACAATGTGCAAACTTTTATATAAAATTTTGAAGAAATTTTGTAAAAATTACTCAAATAAATATCAATCTACCGGTCTATATTATATAATTTAGTTTTTAGTCCATTTCCATTGTCATTCCCGTTGATCATTTTTGATCATTTGATCATTGTATGATGATATACCAAATCATAATTAGCTACGTAAGAGAATTATTGGAATTCTACTATATATTTTTGGAACTTTCTAGAAAAATAATTTTGTTATATATTTCTGAAACTTTCTTGGAGAAAATTAAGATAATATTTGCTGCTCAATTATAAGGATGTTATTCTATAAACCAATATAATCAATCTTAAAAATTTAAAATTAATTTGATATTTCAAACAAAATGAAAATATTTCTTCTTAGAGTTATAACAATAACTTTTTATTTAAAATGTAGCATTTTAAAAATTAGTTAAAATATTTAATTTTTATGTTTTACCTTAGATGCAAGATATTCCCCAGTATAACAAAGAACGAACGCTTCGCAATTCACAGCAACATAATAAGGAAAACATTTTGCTAATATAGTAGGCCCTTGTTCAGTATGCAAAGACTGAAATGTTAAAATTATATAGAATTATAAAGTATACAATATACAGTAATAAACTATGTAAATTATATATCTTATAGTAAATTATGTAAACAATATATCTTGATAGAGCTATATGGAGCCTCAAATTGTGAAAATAAAATTAACTCACATTTACGAGAATAAATCCTAAAAAACACATTACTAAAATGTTTGAAATAAATTGGATCAATGATGTATAGAGAAATAAATATTTGACATTTTCAGATATATAAAGAATCCTTTGATGTTTAATTGTAACACATTTCAATAAATATGTTGCTTCATCTTCACAATGATTTGAAACGTTAATGAGTTCTTGACATACGATATCAATTTGACTACCTATATGTAGTACCTAATAATTAAAAATAACAATATCTAACATTTTTTAAATTATTTTACATATGTAATCTTAAAATTATCGTATCTTAAAATTATTATATATATATATAAAATTATATATATATATATAAAATTATATATATATAAAATTATATATATATATAAAATTATATATATATAAAATTATATATATATAAAATTATATATATATATAATTATATATATATAA